TGTGTTTTGAGACAGTCTTGCTCAGTCACCCAGGCTGGAGTGCGGCTCAATTTTGGCTTGCTGCAACCTCTACCTCCCAGGTTCAAGCAGTCTTCCTAACTCAGCCTCCCGAGTAGCTGGGATTACAGGTGGCTGCCACCACACCCAGATAATTTTTGTATTTTTAGTTGAGATGGGGTTTTGCCATGTTGGTCAGGCTGGCCTCGAACTCCTGACCTCAGGTGATCCACCCACCTCGGCTTCCCAGAGTGTTAGGATTACAGGTGCGGGTCACCATACCTGGCCTTTTTTTTTTTTTTTTTCTGAGACAGAATTTCGCTCTTGTTGCCCAGGCTGGGGTGCAATGGCGCAATTTTGGCTTACCGCAATCCTCGCCTCTCAGGTTCAAGTGATTCTCCTGCCTCAGTCTCCCAAGTAGCTGGGATTACAGGCATGTGCCACCATGCCTGGCTAATTTTGTATTTTTAGTAGAAACAGGGTTTCTCCCTGTTGGTCAGGCTGGTCTCTAACTCCCAGCCTCAGGTCATCTGCCTGCCTCAGCCTCCCAAAGTCCTGGTATTACAGGCATGAGCCACAGCATCTGGCCTTTTTTTTTTTTAAAGGGACAGAGTCTTGCTCTGTTGCTTGGGCTGCAGTACAATGATACAATCATAGCTCACTGTAGCCTCGAACTCCCAGGCTCATGCAATCCTTTACCTCAGCCTCCTGAGTAGCTGGAACTATAGGCGTGCACCACCATGCCCAGCTAATTTTTTTTTTTGTACAGATGGGATCTTTCTATGTTGCTCAAACTTCCGGCCTCAAGTGATCCTCCTGCCTTGGCCTCCCAAACAGTGGGATTATACCCACTGAGCCTGGGCAAGTTTCCTTCTTTGTAAAAAGGGGTACCAGTATGCTTCCAGTAGTTGGCAGAAAGATTAGAACAGTGGCTAGCATGTGACAACTGCTTAATAAGTTTTGGGTGCTATGACAGTGATGACGAGAATGATGTTGCTCCTCCTGGCCAGATGGCAGGCACCTAGTGACCTCAACTGCCCTCTTGGTCAGGAAGGCCACCCACTGTGGAAAGTCATTCCATTTCAGATAGTGCTAAGGGCAATAAAAGAAAAAGATGGGGCCAGGCACGGTGGCTCATGCCTGTAATCCCAACACTTTGGGAGGCTGAGGCGGGCGGATCACAAGGTCAGGAGATTAAGACCTTCCTGGCCAACATGGAGAAACCTCATCTCTACTAAAAATACAAAATTAGCCAGGTGTCGTGACACACACTTCTAATCCCAGCTACTCAGGAGGCGAGGCTGAGGCAAGAGAATTGCTTGAACCTGGGAGGCGGAGCTTGCGGTGAGCCGAGATGGCGTCTTTGCACTCCAGCCTGGGGAACAAGAGCAAAACTCTGTCTCACAAGAAAAAGAAAGAAAGAAATGAGACAAAAGAATGAACACCTTTGGGAGGCCGAGGTGGGTGGATCACGAGGTCAAGAGATCGAGACCATCCTGGTCAACATGGTGAAACCCCATCTCTACTAAAAATACAAAAAATCAGCTGGGCATGGTGGCGTGTGCCTGTAATCCCAGCTACTCAGGAGGCTGAGGCAGGAGAATTGCCTGAACCCAGGAGGCGGAGGTTGCGGTGAGCCGAGATCGCGCCATTGCACTCCAGCCTGGGTAACAAGAGCGAAACTCCGTCTCAAAAAC